GCGTCATGCATTTTTTATTTTCAGATTCTACATGAAAATAATTTAGGTTAAAACGGAATCATAATAACTTAAATGATAATATTTCATAAAATTCATATAATTTACCTAAGGAATCCTCTCTAGCCAAACTAAGTGTAGGAGATTCATCCCATAACTTGTATAAGTTGATGGAAAATTCATTGATCCTGTATATATTATAAATTAATTAATAAATTTTTTTTTTAAAAAAAAATAAAAGTAACATCCTTGTCAATACCTCGTAAGTGTTGAGGAAATATCATTTTTTTCAACAACTTGAGTTAATTTAGATATCGCCCATGAAATTTTTGGTAATTCTTTGTAAAGCGCATCATTGCTCTTTTCTTCAAGATGTTTACATGACATCTTTTAATAAAGGACGTTAATATTGATATATATTATTTTTTTTTAAATAAAAAAATTTAATATTCTCTTACATTCCAATTGTGATTTTGTTCAATTTCCTTAAGAAATTTACCATTTTGAAATAAACGAGGATTTTCTAATACAACATTTATTAATAAAGTCATTAATCTGGCCTATTGTAAGGTAAAATTAATTAAATCAATAATTTAAATATTTTTATGATAAAGATCAGGATGATGTATCTCACCTTGGAATTTAATTCTTTTAATTGCTCTTTTGGAATGAACGGAATACATTGCGCGCATATAAAGGATAAAGTTTCTTGTTTTGGATCTAAATTAAAAGTTTAAATTAGTTTTATAAAATGTAACTATTATACGAATAATTTCATCTTACCATCATTGAATTGATCGATTAAAGAATCGATACTTTTTAAAAATGCCAACTCAACTTCATAAATGAGTTTACCAACTCTTCTTTTACTATTCGAAAACTGATATCCCTTCCTAAATAAAATAAATTTTGATTTTAAAAAAAAAAAATTTTCGAATGATTCAACAAATTATTAAATTATTACTTACAAGAAACCAGCCAAACCAATAAATCCGATGAAATTATTTTCACATTCAAATACATTTAATAAAGCTCTAACCCATTTAGCCTTATCGCTTTTCCAAAGGTGTTCATCACAAAGTTTTTCGTGACTTGTATATTGTAACATGTAAAATATTGATAAACCTTTATTAAAAGTATATTCCTTGTCAAATTTATCTTGGGAAGAAATAAACTCTTTTAAAATATCTTTAATGAATGAGAGAGATGATGTTGGATTAATAAGTATTTTAGAAACACTTGTGTGTGGTCCGTTATAAGCTGTTGACTGATTTAGAGACATTATTAGGCTAGGCAAAATGAGGAAGTAATAGTAATAGAAAAAGAATTTTCGATGAAAAAAATCAAAAATATTGCAGATCACAAAAATATAAATATGGAAATCTGAAATGTAATCATGTGATTTATATAATAGTTCGAGGAGCTGTTCTACCAATAATCAGCTTTAAAAAAAAAAAAAAAAAAAAAACCGTCGCCAGTCTATGAATGGGCTTCTTTGGCAACGTAAATATATGCAATGCTTTTTTCGTAAGAGCAATATCATCATCGCCTAATTCTTTAAAATAGCAACGTACATATTTTTCATTATTCGAGTTTACGTGTTGTATAAATAAAAAATTCGTAATAAAGAAATGTCTCTTGAAAAATTCATCATTATAAAGTCCATTTCAAAATCTCGCGTTTTTTTTATTCTCGCCAAGATTTCAAATATTCAAAATTATGAATTTGCCATTCCCGTTTCGAATAGTATAAAATTATATATATCTTTAATGAAGAAAAATGTTCCATTAAATTAATAAAAAAACCAACACATTTTATTCCTCCTTCGGAAATTTTGACGTTTGATGTATCTGCCATCAAAAGAATACTGTATGTTCATTCGCCAAGAAAAAATTTTTCCCCTACCAAAAAGGACAATATTATATTCGGTACCGTAAAAATGATAGAAATTATTTTTTATTTTCAATTCTTCTGCTTATGAGAATTGTATTTAACGCCACGACTACAATTAAACTTATACATTCCTTATCAAACCTCACATTTCTGATCATGCCCAATAAGGAAATATACATCCCAGGATGTAGCAATATTTCGAGCACCATTGATATCCCGATCAAGCTCAGCTGCATAACTGGGGGCAACGGAACACTTTGGATCCACCCAATTTTCGATGGATATGACCACAGCACCCACATGTCTTACTAGTATATTCTGCAGTACATACAATTACCTGACACCATGGATGCTCACGAACTTTATGTAGAAGATAGTGGCGGAATCGGAAGCGAGACCATGTTAACATCATCCGTGCACTCTTAAAACGAATTCGCCGTTTTCCACGCATAATCATTCCCTGTGCATTAACTCAGGCAACTAAATAATCCGATAATTTTGACACAACCATTTGGCAAGTTTATGGTGGCAATCATTAATAAGACAACAGATTTTTATGTATAAGAAGCATGACCTTGCGAAGCTTGCATCTTTTTCGTTTGTGTACTTTTCCATGAATAGAGTCATGCTTGCTTTGGATTTTGTCATACGTCTGGAAAGCCGATAAATTCTATTAATATCATTTTACCCCATTAATTAGCTTTTCCACTTGGATAATAACCAGTCATGAATGTACGCACGCCTGGGTCCAGAGCAATTACTCCTTCCTATTAAATTATTAATTAAATGATTAAATTAATTTTATTAAAGTTTTTATTCTATATTATTGTATAATGATATAAAAAATATAAAATTATTTAAACCTTTTCTTGCATTCATAAAATAAAGGACCATGGTTTTCGGTCCATATTTCGAGTGGTTTAGGTATGCAAAGGTAAAATTCTCCAAGGCGATTTACACCAAGACGACTATCATATTCAAGTTGATTTGGACTTGATTTTGTGAAGAAATGAGTATTCGCCACGAGACTTGTCCAATGTTTAGAAAGTATTGAAATTGATTGTTGAGAATCCTTTTTATAACGGAACTACTTCTTGAATTTTTTATGATTTATAGCAAAGTTGGAAAAATATCCTTTAAGCAAGTCATTCATAGCTTCATCTCGTATATCATAAGGAGTTTCTATAACCCACTTAAGTTTTGTATCATTTTTAAAGTTCTCAAAGATCCATTCCACAAGCTCGGGATCCGAAAAAACACAATCAGTCCTAATAAAATGTCAGTAAAATAATAAAAACAATAAAATAAAACAAATAAAAATTAAACTCTACTTTTCGGTCGGGTAACCACCACTTCCTCGATTTTTCCTGTGTATATTCGTTCCAGAAGGGCAACAACTCCCCTGTATTTCCAATTGAGTCCTGAGCCGATATCACTAACGATTTCATATTTGTTGCTCCATTATACTTTCGTTTAAGAGCGAGTAGAAAGTTTTCCTTTTTTTTTTTAGCTTTATACATAGATTGGTAGGCACAAAAAAAAAAAAGAATACACACATCGTGGGAAATAAACACGTGTCATAATTTTTTTTTCTAGTCTAAAAAGTCTAATTCAGTCATGCTTCGATAAAACCATTCCTCTTTTTTAAAAAAAAATACAAAGAAAAAATTTTTTTTGGATTTTATTTTTAAAGCTGACGACAACAATCCTATCATTTTATATGTAAATTTAACCAAACCAATCCGAGTTAACATTAAATAAAAAATTTTTTTATTTTTTTTTGTGATCATATTTTCGTTCCTATTGAACGGTTTTGGCTTATATTTTAGGTGTCATTCCGATCGTTGTGTCACATCAGATAAAGAATTTTTTTTTGTTTGAGGAAATGTGGATTGGTGTAATGTTTATAATTGTCCCAACAAAAGATTAACCAAACTCACCGAAAATGTGAAAGGGTCGTCTTTTTGAGTTTGGGTATCCATTGTTCTTAAGTATCTATGTGGTTTCTTTATTATCCTATCCTCCTCCCTTAACTAGCCTCAC